TAAATCTAATGTTGCATCTGACTTTCATGTGGAAGAACTGTTTCCATGTTGAAAAACCAAAACTCATGTTATTCATTGGTTGTGATATTGAGAAAATCCTGAGATACTGAGAATAAAGGCAAATGACATGTTTTTCTGGTGACAGGGTGAAATTATAATCATCTGCAACATAGGGGAAAGCCACTATTTCAATTAGGCTGAAAAATCTGTACAGCTCTTTACAGAGAGAGTCAGCAAGCAAAAATTTTAGCTAGAACAGAGTATTTTTTATGTATGTGCCTTTACAGTTAAAATATTATATATAAAAAATTTCTGATTACTCAGAAATCTGATTACTGTAAAGCTTGGAACAAGGCGTATATACTTGCTTGGGGCCAAGAGAGCTACTGTTTATTCGAGAGAGCTACAAGTTTATTCCTTGATTTAAAGTCACCTAGATTGGTCGGTTTGCTGCAAGCCTAAAATGGCTTTCCACTGACATTTTTTGAAAAAACAAAATCCCAAACACAAGCCTGATTCGCTGTAAAGGAGGAAGCCTCTGGGATGAAAAGAAAAATCCTTGCCTGCTTGACTTTTCTTTAGAATCTCAAGGAATAGGATTGGGTCACTTTAATCAAAATTTGTTTAGGGCCCAGAAAATTTCAATTCATGCTATTGGTTTATTAATAAATATTTTATTAGATTGCAAAGAAAGAAATATTTGGATCACACATAGAGCAGAGATAATTTCCTTTATGGCTCACATTTATGATCCCATCACTCTAATTTCAATATTTTTTATTGACATTATAGAACAGAAGGCTCTCTTGTGTGTTATTTTAAACAGCTGATCTCAACTCTCTGTGTATACAGTTAATGAAGCAATTAAAGCCAATTTTTCAATAACACCCAGAGATCCTTAGACTCAGTCACTGAGCAACATTTATTTAACACCCTTGGTGAGCACAGAATCTTAGATGTTGTCAGGGATAAAAAAAATAGATGTGACTCTTGCCTTCAAGGATTTTTCATTTGGGTAGCTATGAAAAACCCATGCACATGAAAACCAATGAGACTCTTAAAATAATTATACAACTTTAAAGAAACCTAACAAGTTTATGCATTTGTGTTGATCTTACTCTTAGTGTGTTAGTGTGGAAGAATTTACAAATAACAAACTTTTTTTTTTTAAAGGTTTTATTTATTTATTTGAGAGAGAGAGAATGGGAGACAGAGAGCATGAGAGGGAAGAGGGTCAGAGGGAGAAGCAGACTCCCCGCCGAGCAGGGAGCCCGATGCAGGACTCGATCCCGGGACTCCAGGATCAGGACCTGAGCCGAAGGCAGTCGCTTAACCGACTGAGCCACCCAGGCGCCCTACAAATAACAAACTTTAATTATTCTAGAGTTTAGACAAAGCATTTCCCTCCTTCCTCAGCTACCCTTACAAAGTTTTGGGGAATAGAGACTTTTTGGGGCACACATTGATGGAATAATTTTTGCTTAATAGAACAACTCTTCCTGTGTAAATCACCTTCAAAAACAAATAGGTGCGGATGCCTGGGTGGCTCAGTCATTTAAGCGTCTGCCTTCAGCTCAGGTCATGATCCCAGGGTGCTGGGATTGAGTCCTGCATCGGGCTCCTTGCTCATCAGAGAGTCTACTTCTCCCTTTGCCTGCCGCTCCCCCTGCTTGTGTGCACGCTCTCACTCTGGCAAATAAATAAATAGCTTAAAAGTAAAAGCTTAAAAGTAAACCCCAAAACCCCAAATAGGTGGCCATGGTCTATACAATATAACCCAAGGAGGAATGGGCAGCTAATCCAAGGTGAGTCCATGTATGGTCTGAGCAGTGGTCCTTGAGTTGGTCAAGCTCAAAGTTCTGCCACCAAAGATGATGGTCATCAACTTAGACTAGGAGATACTATCTATGAGGAGTTTGAATGTGAGACATAGAGAAAGTTAAAATGCTAGTGGAAAAGTAGAGGTTAAAAATGGATGCAGGGTCCATATTAAACTTGTTTCACCGAAATCTTCAAAGGCAGCTAAGAGTAATACTTCGGATTCCCTAATTATGAACTTCTCCAAATCTCACTCCATTAAATGAATTGGATATAGATTTTATGTCTTTACTTGGTGTTTTTTTCTTACTCAATCTAAAAAAATAGGCATATAAAATAGTACAACTCCACATTAATGCTCCGTCTCCTCTTCTCTACAAATCTATGTTTTTGCTTCAAAGCTCAAAGAGGCTCCAAATTCTAAGGAAGATTTGGAAATTTGTGTCTAGGCCTGTACAGGACTTTAGAGCTCACTTCTCCAAACCAGAAATCAAACTTCTCAAGCCCAGCTGCTTGGACAGTACTCCTCCCACTGCACAGCGGGTGAGTTCCCGGTGCTCACTATGCTCTTTGAGCTCTCCTTTGTGCTCTCTTCTCTTCTGTGCACTTTGATGCCCACCTCCCATTTATGTTCTCCCCTGGCCCTTGAAGCTTTGTATTTGGCAAGATTTCCTTGGCCATATTTCTGGCTCACCAAGACCCTGTTTTTTGGCTATTTTGCTTCATATTGTGAAAGAGTTGCCCCAGGTCAGCTTGTCCTAGGAACCTGACTCTGCCCACACGGATGACAGCACTTCTACTAGACTTATTTCAGCTGTAGGACACAGAAATTTTCCCTGGAAGAGCAGAGTAATGAAGATGAGTAGCTGAAAAATGAGGTAAATGGGGAAGCTATTTATTTGTTCATTTCTTACTCCATTCTGCCACTTAGTACCTGTGTGACCTAGAATAAATTACTTAACCTCTCTGGCCTCAATTTGAAAAAATTATAGGTTGGTGATGATTTACTGGTATGACTGTGATTAGGATTAAATGAGGTAATATGCACAAAATCATTTGTATACTTAAAGTGGTATGTGTAAGATAGATAATACTACTAAACATTTCAAATAAAGATTAGACTTCAGAAGAGGTAAGAGAAGAGTAAGAGAAGTTAATAAATGTGATCTTTAGGGTAATGCAGTGAAACACATTAAAGTAACCAGTTGTGGGAGTGCTAGAGAATAAAACTTGACTTCCTACATGTATGAGGAAGTAGTGGTCTGGGTGAGAAGAGAGGTGCTGGAAGAGAATATGACTAGGGATATGCATTGCAATTCATTCTTAAAAGATCAGGTGGGAAGTGTGGAGAAACTACTGAGTTTCTGTAATGAATCTTATAAAAAACTATTTTTCTAAACTAAGGGTCAGTGACAAATAGGGACTTCTGTATGGGCAAAACTTAGCTTTAAGGAGGAGTGTTAGGAGAGAAAGCTGCTTATATGTATGTCTGAGAAAGGGACAAAAAAAAAAGAGGGTGGAGGCAGAGCAAAGATAGCATTCTAGAAATGGGAAATTGGGTTTCTCAGTACAAACTATCTACCAGAAGGACCAGCCTGATGGCTCTCTATTGCAGAGGTGATTTCAAGAAGATGGATGGTGTGTAGCACAAGTAACCTGTATAATTCAATATGTATATAGTGTCCGTGTACAAGAAACTCTACTAGATACTGTGGGACATGTGAAGGTAAAAGAACTATGATTCTTACCTTCTAGAAGTATACTGTCTACTGTAGAGATAAAACATGAATACAAATATTAAATATTATGTGATCATTGCTATAAAATGATAATAAGAGATATAGCCAATGTTAGAAGAGGGACAAAATTTTGCCTGGGTAACTAGAGAAAGAAGTGGCAGTTTATTTATTTATTTATTTTTATTTATTTAAAATTTTTTTTAAGATTTTATTTAATTTTTTGACAGAGAGAGAGAGAGATAGTGAGAGAGGGAACACAAACAGGGGGAGTGGGAGAAGGAGAAGCAGGCTTCCCGCCAAGCAGGGAGCCCGATGCGGGGCTCCATCCCAGGACCCTGGGATCATGACCCGAGCCAAAGGCAGACGCTTAATGACTGAGCCACCCAGGCACCCCTATTTATATATTTTTAAAGATTTTCTTTATTTATTTGACATAGAGTGTGAGAGAGAGAGAGTATAAGCAGGGGGTGGGCGGGCAGAGGGAGAGGGAGAAGCAGGCTCCCCACTGAGCCCAATGCGGGGCTCAAACTCTATCCCAGGACCCTGGGTTCATGACCCTAGTTGAAGGCAGACACTTAACCAACTGAGCCACCCAGGTGCCCCTGAGCTGGACTTTTAAACATTTTGACAGGCAGATGTAATAGAGGAAGCATTCCTGGCAACAAAATGACACAGGAAAATTATATTATTTGGTGTAATGCTAGTTTAAAATCAGATAGCCCCTGAATTATCAGTAGTATAACAAAATAGAGATTTATTTCTCAATCACTTAGTTTAGGGAGGGCATTCAATGAGCAGCCTTTGCAGTGATTCAGGGATGTGGGCTCTGCTTTTGCATGGTTTCACTGGGGCCTCAGAATCTCTCCTTCCAGCCAGTGTATGAGGAGCAATAGAGATTGTGGAGGATTGAATGGGAGACTTTTGTGGTCTAGGCCTGGAAGTGACAAACACCACTTCTACTCATATTCCCCTTGTCTTTGTCTTTTGAAAATTTGATTATAATGTGCTGTAGTGTAAGCCTCTTTGAGTTCATCTTACTTGGAGTTTGTTAAATTTCTTGAATATTTATATTCATGTCTTTCATCAGATTTGGGAAGATTTCAGGTATTATTTCTCAAATATTTCCTCTGCTTTCTCTTTCCCTCTTCTCCCACTGAGCCTCTCACAATGCATATGTTTCTCTACTTGATTGTGTCTCATGGGTCCTTTTAGTTTTGTTCACTTTTCTTCAGTCTTTTTCTTAACCTAATAATTTTCATTAATCTTTAAGTTTGCTGATTCTTTCTAATGCCTGCTCAAATCTGACTTGACTCTCTCTACTGAATTTTTAATTTTTTATCTTACTTTTCAGCTCCAGAATTTCTTTTAGGTTATCTTTAGATTTTCTATCTCTTTATCGATATTTCCATTTTGTTCATTCCTTGTTTTCTTGACTTTCTCCACAATTTTTCTTTAGTTCTTTGAGCATCTTTAAGACAGTTTTTTCATACTCTCTATGTAATAGATTTGCCATCACGTCTTTTTCAGAGACAGTTTTTGTTGGTTTAGTTTTTTCCTTAAAGGGGCAAAACTTTCCTGTTTCTTTGTATGCCTTATGATTTTTTGGTTGAAAACTAGATATTTGAACCTAGTAATGTGGCAATTCTGGAAATAAGATTCACCCCCTTCCCCAAGGTGTGCTGTTTTTTATTATTGTTTGTTTATTATTTTTGTCTTTTTGATTTTTGTAGGCTGTCTCTATGCCAAGGATCCCTCTGAGGTATAAAGTTAAGGTCTTCTCAGATCCTTTCTGAGCCTTTCCTTGAAAATGCATGGTAACTTTCTAATTTTCCCCATATATGCAATTGTTTTTCAATGTCTTAGTCTTTAATATCTGGCATTCAAAAGGGAAAAAGGAAAATGAGAGGGGAGAAAAGGGCATTGGCTTTTTAAATTCCCTAGAAGTTACTTTAACTGGAAGGGGAGGGGCTTGAAACAATGGGGGAGAGGAGCAACAATGACTGCCCACCTTTTTGTCTGCATCTTTGTGATCAGAGGCATCAATCAGTTTGCAGAGCATTTGGAGGACAGGGTTCTCTCTGGCCTGCCAGCTGTGGGCAGGCTGCTCCAGGAACATATGCACAGTGTCGGCCACAAGGCTGGGGGTAGGAGATGGGTAGCTGTTACTGTGCTAAGAGCCGAACTTGACTCCATTTACTGTCCATGCCTTCCCTTGGAAGTTGCAAGTCTTCAGTAAACTCCACAAAGTTCCAAAATAATATAATATCAGACAGATTCTGCCAATACAATTATTATCTAGGTGGGGAGACAGATTCCTGGTGCTTCCTACTCTGCCATCTTCCCAGAATCCTTGGATGACTTTTTATTCTCGAATGATTGTTAAATCAAGGAACCTGGCCATGATCTCATCTGGAAGTAGAAAATAATTTTCAACAGAGCTGGTTTAACACAGAGGAATTTCTGTTTGCTTAGAAGAGTTCAGCTTTTTCTATAAGTTGGTTACCTTAACAAATGTGGCTAACAAGTTGAAGGAAGAATTTGATGGGATTTTGAGTGAATATCTGCGGTAGTAGAATGAGTGAGTTGGAGAAGAAGTTCTAGTTTTAGTCCTACTGAGTTGAGGTGTCAATGGGACTTCTGGGCGGAAGTGTCTGGCAGTCACAGGAAATGCAGAACTGGATCTGGAAGAGAAGTAAGGGCTAGAAGCAGGGATTTGGGGGAAAACCCATGACAGTTGCCTTTTGTCCTCCCACACTACCCTCAGTGTCTCAGTGTGAGAGGGCACCAGGCTGAATTAAGGTTCTGGTACAGACAACAATTCTTAGATGTATGTTTGGCTCTTGTACTTAATAACAAACATCTCTACAGTAGAACCACTGGTTGATATCAAAAAATATTCTGAGTGAGGTTTCAACCTAACCATCTCTCTGATGAGTCTAGCCATATCAGGTAAATATTGTCTGTTTTAATGGCTGGTTCATGAGCAAAGTTGTAATTTCAGTGACTCAAACCAATCTAGTCCTTAGATTTAACTGAATCAGACAAGGCTTACAAAACAAACAAGGACTGGATTGTTAAAAGGAAAGAAATATATGCAGAAAAAACTGTTGCAAAGTAGGTCTATATCAGCTGATCTATAAAAGATAAGACATTCATAATAAGCAGAGCTAATAATTTAGACAGTTTCTTATGTGATAGAATTTTACCCATGAAAAGGGGTTCATCCAACTGGAAAATGGCCTTGGGTAAAACAAATTAGGAAGGTGACCCAAGATATGTGGTTTTAGGCCCAATTATGGACTTTCAAATCCTATTTGCAGCTTTAGTTGGTTAAGAAGGCAACCCTATCTCTCAGGGCAAATGAGTATAATTGTGACTGGATAAGAAAAAAGAAAATGTATATTAAAATAAAAAACATAATAAACATATTTGAATCTATGATGTTAGTGATTTTCTAATAGTTTCCCAATATCTGTACTAATCAATTCTAGAAGCACTGCATCAATATTTATATTGTTTTTAAGGTGTTTAAAGCATTTCTGGAGTCTGGTATATTATAGACTGGTAAGAAATATAATTAATTTATAATCAATGTATAAATGTTAGGAGAAATCTTATTTAATACATTAAAACTTTATTATTTGTTAGTTATGTAATAAACATGGAAATAGTTAGAAAAAGTCAATAATTTAAAAATTAATAAAGAGGAAACTAGACAGAGTCTAAATTGCCATGATCATTCTTCTTTGTGTTTAAAAGCATCTATCAATAATTAAGAACCTAGTTAAATACAACAAAGTTAACCTATCTCTATGTCACAGGATGGCACAATGATCCTCTTCCAAGACTGAGTGTCAGAAGTCAGGGCCCTTCAGTCTCTCCTGGCTTACCCTTTCCCGAGATAGAGCCCTTTCCTTTTCCCAGACAGTAGCTTTCTTCATCATCAGTAGCCACTCTCACCTTTGGGATGTATTCCTTTTTTGCCATAGAAAAGAAAAAGCACATTTCTCTCTGACTCCTTTTTTGAATTTTCTGAAATGTTCAAGAGAGAGCTTGTTGATATTAAGACATTATCAAATGGTAGTATAGTTGTTAGTGTAGCTTGTCTATGAATGTTTGCATCTCTGCAAACCAGTGATGTTTTCTGGGATTCCATCGAAAGCAAGGGAAAGAGAAGAGCCTAAGACTAAGCAGTGTCAAAGGGTAAAGGGAAAAGCTACAATACAGAATAACTCTTGAGGTACCTGATGGGCTCCCACCATGGGAAGCTCTAATTTGAGGTGTTCTCCAGCCCCTCTGAGGTTGGGTGGGCAGGGGAGAGATGGAATTGAAAGGCACTGTCATAGCCCCTTCCTAGGGCTCCCTGGATGTCAGCAGTGCTGAAAGCAGCCCAGAGGGAATCAAGCAAGCACAATGCTTTTTCAGGTGTCTGCACAGGTGATGAAAAGAAACAGGGTATCATGAAAAAGAAAGAAACCAGTTTGAGAAGACCCTCTTAGAACATACGGAAAGATAAAATAGTCAGAAAGTAACAGAGAGCGCATATCCCCTCAATTAATGGCAGAGCCAGGGACTGGGGTTTCTTGTCTCTCAAGTCAATTTTTTTTTTTTCTCCAGAGGAGTCCCAGGAGGGCCAGAGAATGTTCTATCTACAGACTTTCAGTGAATCTATTTTTGTCTCACACCTTTTTTGCTGCTGCTGTAGTGCCTGGATCTTTGTTTTTTAGTCTAGAGCATTTCTCACATTAACATGCTCTACAACAGGGATTGGCAAACTATGGTCCATGGGTCAAATACGGCCAGTCATCTCTTTTTGTATAGTTTGGGAGAGCTGAGGGTAGTTTTTACATTTTATTTTTTCTTTCAAGTATATAATATATAAATATATGTGCTCTCAAACTACATAGAATTATAGAGATAAAATTTCAATTTCATTGAGATATAATTTTATTGAGATATAACTGGCATACAACATATATATATATATAAAAAGTATATATATATATATATATATATATATATATATATATAAGCTTGAGGTTGTACAGCATAATGCCTTAACTTACATATATTGTGGAATGATTACCACCATAAATTTGGTGAACATCCATCACCTCATATAGTCACAAAAAATGTTTTTTCTTTATGATGAGAACTTTTAGGATCTACTCTCTTAGCAACCTTCAAATATACTGTATAGAAGTGTTAACAATAGCCATTATATTGTATATTATATCCCTAGTACTTATTCATCTTCTAACTGAAAGTTTGTACTCTTTGATCACCTTCATCCAATTTCCCAAAATGTAATTTTAAATTACATTTTAGCGTTTGTATTTTTAAATGGAATTTTGGTAAATATGAAATTAATAATATTTAGCACTCCTATGTTCATTACTCATGTGGCACTGTCACTCTGGTTGCAAGATTCACAACAACAAAAAAAGGAAATTCTGCAATAAATGACAATATGGATGAACACGGAGGACATTATGCTAAGTGACATGAGGAGGTCATGGAAAGACAAATAGTGCATGATTCCACTTATAATAGGTATCTAAAATAGTCAAATTCAGGGGTCGCTGGCTGTCTCAGTTGGTAGAGCATGTAACTCTTGATCTCGGGGTTGTGAGTTTGAGCCCCATGTTGGGTACAGAGTTTACTTTAAAAAAAAAGTCAAATTCATAGAGTTCATAGAATCAAAAAGTGGACTGCTGGTTGCTAAGGTCTGGGAGGGAGAGGAAATGGAGATTTATTAATTAAAGGGCATAAAGTTTCGGTTAAGCAAAATGAATAAGCTCTAGAGATCTACTGTACAACATTGTACCTATAAACAATAATGTGTTGTACTCTTAAAAACTTGTTGAGGGTATATCTCATATTAAATAAGATTAAAAATAATATTTTATAATGTGAAAATTATATCAAATTAAAATTTTAGTGTCTATAAATAAAATTTTATTAGAACCTGACCATGCTCATTCCTGTATGTATTGTCTATGGCTGCTTCTGTGCCTCAACAACAGAATTGAGTGGTTGCAACAGAGACTTGCATAGCATCCTCAATTTTGCCTCTTGACTCATAAAATCTAAAATAGTGACTACCTGGCCTTTACAGAGAAAGTTTGCCAACTCTGAAGCTAGATTGTGGGTTCCTCTGCCCTGCTGTATCTGTGGCATTCCTTTATCTGCTTTGTTTCTTCTATAAATTTATTGAAATCACTTTATTGATGGCTCCTCTTATTCTCTTTGTCATTGCAAGTTCATTCCATTCTATTCCTTTGCTAATATTTTGGCAAGCTAAAAAATAGCTAAAATATATATGCATGTACTATGTCCTAAATGACATATATGTGATATAAATCATATATGTATCATTTAATATACATTAAATGATAGAGAATAGTCTCAGTGCAATAGGCAAGTACTGTTATTCAATCTATTTTGCAGGTAGGGACACTGAGGTCAGGGAGGTTAAGTAACTTTCCCAGGGTCATCATGAAGCTAGCAAATGTTGAGGCAGGATTCAAAGAAGCCCAGGTAGTCTGGCTCCAGACTCGTACCCACTGCACCATACTGCAGTGCACTGCTATTGATTCTTGTGAGAAAGGGGAGGCAGCTGGTGTGGCTGGTCCACCATCATGGTCAATAAGTCACCAATGTAGTTTAGAATAAACAAAGAAATTTGAGAAGTTTTGTTAGGAGGAAAGGGGTAGGACGAAATGTGCCCAAAGTGGAAGAAGGTGGAATTCTGTGCTCACCAAATGTTAGTTTCTTTGGCGTCACCGTTTTGCTCAAGGGTAACCATGTATTTCTTGTTTGGCAATATTACTGACATAGCCAACTGAAGAACCATGGTAGAGGGGAAGACAGTAGACTATAGGGCTCGTGATCCCAATTTTTCTAAAGATTTGAAGGATCTCCGTTTTTTAAATGCCAGAAGTGTTTCCAAAAGTCTTTCAGAGAGATGGTCTGTGAAAGTAAAATTCTTGGACAAATTGATGGGAATGAGGTATACCAAATTGCTCTATTGGAGATTCAGAATTTTCATGAGTAAAGTAAATGATCTCAGAAGTGTTTGCATTAAATATTTTTTTATTTTTAACCTGATTTTAAAATTTTTATTTATTTTTTTGCCTGTATAATATCTGTCAACATTCTGAGGAACTAGTGTTCTGTGGAATATACTTTGGAAAATATTATTGCCCATCTTTAGCTATACAGCAAAGTTTCAAATTATGCTTACACTGTAATGTGAAGAAAAAAATTCTTTATGTTATCTACAACGAATCTCATCTTTTCCCTGAACTTTTATCTGTGGAGTAGTAGGAAAACAGATTGACTCAATCTGTCATCTGGGATAAACAAAGGCCAATATGATATTAGGAGCTTTTTTGTTACTTATTTGGGAAAGATACTTACTCAGTTTCTCAGATGGCCTTCTCCAGCGGCTGCTTCTTTCTCTAAGGAGGCATCCAGGGGTGTCAGGGAAGAGGATCCCGGCTCATGCTGGTCCTGGGAGGCGCACTCACAGTTACCTGTAGGTCTCTGGAGTAATGTCTTGTGGCTGACTGGGTGCTGCTGGCCCTGTTATAGGCAGTCTACAGCTGATGTCACTTAATTTGTTTTCTTTGTAAGGATCCAGCAGTGCTCTTGGCTGACCTGGCCTCACTTTGCTCCTGGGTAACTTCCTTGGCCTTTGTCCAGCGTGGTGCCCCAGCGGCTACTAAGCCTCCTCTGTGAGGTCACCTTGCTCTGCCCAGTAGGCCCCTTGACAGGCCCACTGTCCCTTGGCTACACAAATGCAGGAACTGGGGAGGTTTGAGAAAGCTCAACCTTAGAACCTTCCCTTTCCGCACATACTGCATAGTCAAGGAGCTGTGTTTGCATCCCAGGTTGTTGTATTTGGGGCAAAGGGGACAACTTGAAAGATGCTCTTTTCCCAGAGTCTTCCCTGACAAAACGAATGGGTTACTACAGCTCATATCTGTCTCATTGATTTTATCCTCACTTATATAATGCACATTTCCCTGATGTCCAGGGAGGAGAAATGAGACACAGGTTTTATAGCTTCCAATCTCTTTCTTTCTTTTCTCTCCCCAGGCCAGAAACAGCCAGATGTCTTTTTAAATTTCTTCTTCATTATGTCTTCCCCTGTCTGTCCTGGTTGTTGGTAGGGACATGGGACAGCCCTCCACATAAGTAAATCCTATATTCTAAGTCCTTCAGCCTACTCTTTGCTGAAATAACATCCTGTGAACAAGGTTTGTTAACTTGCTACATATCCAGTTTGTATGTAGAGTGCCAAAAACTGACTTTCTCTTTGTCCTTTCTTTACATTTCTTATGTACAAATTTAATTTTCCCATAGGCAGATGTGTGCCTAGTGTGAAATATAGTTTACTCGGGAAGGCAAAAGAACAAAGCACATTTGTAAAATGGAAACCATTATTTCCATTACCCATGTTCTATCAGCTTTTACACAGACCCCATCCTAAGTGGTCAATAGTTTTAAATGATTCTTTGATACTGCTACCTCTTAAGTTTCCTCCTCTTGACTGCTCCTTTATTTTTCAGGCTCAACACCTTTTGCACTTCTATAAAATGTTATCCCTTTTACAAATTCTATCTTCAGGTCACACTGTTCCTCTTACCTTCACACCATGTGATTATAAGCATATTAATTCTTTTAATTGCTAAGTATGCACTCATGTCCCACATCTATGTTCTAGCCAGAACCTTGTATGCAGTTGGTCTGCAGGCTCCTCAAAGTCAACCTGAATCTGTCCACCAGCTAACATTTTCTTCTCTTGCGTGGGCCATCTCATTTAAGGGAAGGATGATTCAGCCAGTTCCTTCATTCAGGTTCTCATCATGGGCTATTCCAATAGCTTCCTAAAGAATCTTTCTGCCTTCCTCCCTCTCATTTCTGTGTTGCTGTTAGAGTGTGCCTTTAAGATCCTCTGGGGACTCCCCCATCCCCTGTTTTGTCCTGCCTGACATCTGGCCATCCCCATATACTTGTTTTCCTCCAGTCAGTTTTCTGGCAGTTCTTGGAATGCTTCCTGCTGTCTCATGCCTTGCTACTTTTACACAAGTGATTCTTTTTCCAGGTGATCTTTCTCTCCCTCATCCAATGAGTAATTTCTACTTAAGCTTTGTGAATGAGTTCCTGCTTCTTCCTCCAGGAAGTCATCTCTTGAAATCCCAGCCTGAATAAGGCAGTCTTCTTCTGTGCTCCTTCACGCATACCTTTAATTCACATGCTCTTGTGGAACCATCACACATATCTTAATATTATCTCTCCTTTTCTTTCACTTCATTTGGGAGTAGAAACCGTGTCTTGTTGATTTCTTTGTCCCTAGTGCCTAGATAGAGCCGGATACCTAGTAGGCCTCTGTAGATGTTTTTCAACATGATTGGAGGAGGTCAAATAGAATAAAGACAGATAAAAGGTCATTGGATTTGGTTAGTTGAATGTCTCTGCTGACCTTGGAGAGAGGGGGTTCAGTAAATATTTAGCTTTCACAGCCTGGGCCCTGAGATGTTTATAGGGAAGGCTGCATACTTGAATACCAGCCTTAGCTCTCTCTGCAATACTTTAAAATAGAAAGAAAAACTATTAAGAGCTTCTCAAAGTGAACTGTGGAACAATTAGAATGACAAAGATATTAGTGATTTGGGTGAACATGGCTTTTAGCCACAAAAAAGGCAGCCAAACCCATCTGCTTCAATAAAATCTAGAGCAAAACCCTTGTAATCAGTCTGAAAACACCCAAGGCTTATTTTCCTTTCTAGGGAAAAGTAAAAAACAATTTAGCAGCTGGATACTTTATCATTTGAACAGTACTTTCATTTTTTGAGTTACATAAAATACACACACAAAGCCACAGTTCTTTCCTTCATGACAGACATTCCTGGACACAGTAGGGGAGCAGGTGAAGCTCATGGTGATGACCCTCACTCTGCCTGGTTTCTGTGTAATCCCCAGCCCCTCCCTGAAACATCCCCACTCACTTTTCCAACAGACTTCTAGTACCCCAGTTGCTCAGTGTGGACTATATAAGAGGCTGTCAGCAACCAAATAAATACTTCCAGCCAGAACGTGAAGGCCCTAGGCAGGCCATACCGTGGTGACTAAGAGTCAGGAGGTAATAAATGATTTTCCATTCCCAGTCACTCAGGAGGACAGAAGCCTGGTCAAGGCTGCTGGAGACTTTGGGGAGTATATAGAGCAAGATGTACTTAACCCAGGAAGGGGTATTTCAAAAACTGTGCTCACAACTAGACTTGGAAGCCCAAAATAGCAGTAACCAGAGATGACTTGATTAATTTTGGGAAAGGGTATGGGTGAATGAGGAGGTCTATGGCTTGGGGTTCTCTAGAGAAATAGAACCAATAGGATACACACACACACACACACACACACACACACACACGCACACACACACGCACAGATTATTTTAATGAACTGGTTCATGCAATTGTGGGGCTGGCAAATCTGAAATTTGTAGGGCAGGCTGGCAGGCTAGAGACTCAGGGTGTGTTGATGTTTCAGTCCTGAGTTTAAATTCCACAGGGCAGCATCCTGGAAACTAAACCAGGGTTTTTATGTTATAGTCTTGAGACAGAATTCCTTCTTCTTTAAGAAAACTCAGTGTTTGCTCTTAAAGCCTTCAGCTGATTGGATGAGGCCCACCCACATTTTGGGAGGGAGGAAAACCTTCTTTATTCAAAGTCTACTGGCTGTTAATGTTAATCACACATCTAAAACATAATTTCACAGCAATATCTAGAATGGGGATTTTGCTTTATGTCGGGTGTTGTACTGGACATTTTGAGGTAATAGCCCCTGCCTTGGAGTTGCCCAGAGCTTGGCAAATTTTGGCTGATTTGGGATTGAGGAAAATATTAGTGATTGAGAAAAAAACTGTATACTCATTGTAAGCCAGCTTTGGATGAAAAAACAAGTCTTACTGAATTATACTATATGGAAGTTTTTAATAATTTATCTTTAACTTAAAAGGAAGAATTCAAATATCTATGGATAAATATAAAAGTATTTTTAATTGTAATGACTTAGAAATGGAAATGTTAAGAGACATTGAGATTAAAACAGCTGTCATTAGGTATTAATGTTTTAGAGTCTAACAAACAATTGCACTGATTTGTACTAACCATTAGTCTCAGTGCTGATGCATTGTGTGTTTGTGAAAAACTGTGAGTGAGTTTTGATAATTCACATTTGATTGATACAGCTTCACCCAAATAGCCATTTACAAATAGCATCACTACAATAGAACTTCATTTAGAAATGAACCTCTAATAAAAATTCAATTCAATTTCACAATCATTTCTTTGGCATCTATTATATATATCTGAGGTACCAAGCGAGATGCTTTGATGGATGTTATAATGAGTAAAGCATGGCCTCAATTTTTAAAGATGAGGTCAGGGACTTTTTCTGTCTTCTTAACTGCTATATTTCCAGTGTTTAGGTAGTTCTTAATGCATAATTGACATTCAGATAAAGCTGTGTATGGTATTAGTTATTGATGTGAAGCTTTATATGTGAAGTACTTTAAGCAGAAAGTGGAATTAGGTCATAGAAGTGTGGGGCAGCACCTTGCTTTTATCTAAGCACATTGAAACCCAAAGATAAAGTGTGTGCACTCACATGTGCATGTACACAATCACTGTATCTCTATTCTGCAAGATAGATGATGCCTTGAGCCCCTTTTCTACAAGTTGATAACTCCCTAACTAAATGCGGATATTAACAGATATGTAAGATCCTTGGAGTTACATTAATTATGTGGATAACTGTTATTTTCCAACACTGAGCATTATAAACAGACTAATTGAAACATTGAGGTTTTTTTTTTAAATATTAGCTATATCTTTTATTGAGACACTGGTTTTTCTGAGATATAAATATAAAATTACAAATAAAACTACTTTTTAAAAGCTGACCATTATTTCTGAGTTTTCCTTGCACAGTTACTATGGATCTACTGTGGATCCATGGGACAGTTACAGGTCCCAATAAGATCACCCAACTCTGGGAGTCATTTATCTTGTGTTATCTGAGATATGCATCTCATGGGCCCCAAAGATGCAGATTTGACTTGTTCAGCTCTCAGGGTGAATCTTATCATCTGGTAGTGAAGATTTTGTATTACTCCAATTATAAATTAAATCTGGTTTTGTTTTTGAAGCAGTTCTTCCAGTGCCTTCATTAGTAGAGGAAACATTAGAATTTGTTGTTTTTGTTTTTGATCTTACTATCAAAGATGGGTAAATTCTTTTAGGTGTACAATATAATGATTCAACAATTTTATACATTACTTATTGCTCATCCCCTTCATCTATTTTACCTATCCCCCCACCCACCTCCCTTCTGGCAACTGCCAGTTTGTTCTCTATAGTTAAGTTTGTTTTTTTATCTTCTTTCTTTGTTCATTTTTGTATTTCTTAAATTCTACATATGAGTGAGATCATATGGTATTTGTCTTTCTCTGACTGACTTATCTCACTTAGCATTATACTCTCTAGATCCATCTATGTTGTTGCAAATGGTATAATTTCATTCTTTTTTTAATGGCTGAATAATAGTCCATCATGTATATGTGTACACACACACACACACACACACACACACACACAACACATCTTCTCTATCCATCT